TGCTAATTTTCCTCTTTCTTCTATTAAATATTTCTCTTCTTCTGTTTTTTGTTCTTGTTCTGCTTTTTCTATTCTTTGTTGTAAGGTTTCTAATTCTTGTGATAATTTTCTATTTTTATTTTAAAACCTTTCTTCTTCTGTGAAACCAATGCTTAAAATTTCATATGAATATTTAGTTATTTCTTCATTCTCTAAAATTATAATAATTTCAGATTCTTTTAATTGTTGTTTTGAATTTTGGCATTTGATATTATGTTTATAATGACTATTATAATAATTGTAAGACATTTTTTTTAAAACAAATTTTTTTTTTAAAAAAAAAATAAAAAATGACGATTTATAATAAAGAAATTGATCTTTAAAAAGGATACCAAAAAAAAAATAGATGTATCAGTATCTATAGTGAATGTGAATAGAGCGTATAATACTGCAGATCATATATTCAAATCCTCTGTGAGGCTGTTAGACCCAGACACTTCAGTGTCCGTGAATGCCAGTATATATCACTATAGTTTTTTTTATTAATTTTTATTATAAGAGTATCAGTTTTTTTTATTTTTATAAAAATTATTAATAAATAAACTAATATTTAATTTCTTTTCTATTTATATTTTTAGCTTTTTTATCATATATTAATTTAAAATTAATACAAAGTTGTTTTACTTGTTTACTAGTTCTATTTTTAGTAATTCTAAAACTTTTTTTCTATGTTTATTATTTTCATACTAACAAAATTTTTATCTATTATTATATTTATCAAAATAAATTCTATTATATTCAGAAGTATTATTTTTTAGTAATTTATGATTTAATTGATTTTCTCTTGGTATTGTTTCTCGCAAGTTTAATTCTTGATTATCATATCCTTCTCTATTAATATGATCAATCATTTTCTATTCAAGATATATCATCCGATGAAATTGAACTATTTTATTTTGTTTATGAGTTTTAACATAAAAAGTATTTTTTTTTTATTAAATTACCAAGTTTGTTTTTTTAATAAAGAAAAGTGATTTCTTCTTTTTGTATTTTTACTTCATAATAAAGTTTATTATTAATCTTTACTGTTCTATATTCATTAAGTTTTTTCTTGAATATACTTGTTTATTCCAAGTCGCTATAGCTTCAAAGCTTTCAAATTTATTTTTCTAATATATTTTTTTATTATATTATTTTTTTTTATAATTCTAATTTCTTATAGTATTTATATTTTTAATAATTTATTATATGATTAAATTATTGATATTTTAAAAAAAAAAAAATTTTAAAGGTTTGGGCCCTGTAGCTTATTGGTTAAGCTCCCAAACCCCCACAGACAAGGTCAACAGTTCGAGTCAAGCTGGAGGCAAATTTTAATATAATTTGTTTTTGTAACCTATGGGAGCCATAATCAGATGCGAAGCCCTGTGGAAAGTCTAAATGCAAGTACGGTTCTGAAATAGAAAATTCTCAGAAAGAGCTCTGATCAT